ATTACTCTAACTATCAAACAAATTTAAAAAGAAAGTGCAAAAGAATTTTAAAAAGATAAATAATACGAGTGTTAGCGAAGAGAATGTAAACATACAAAATAATGTTTTCTTAATTTCTTCTATTTGATTGGAGTTAAAAATAATAAAATAATATATATTTGTTTAAAATTATACTTTTTAAGTAAAAATAATTATTTTTTAATTAAAAAAATTAACACATAATTTTTTCTTGATGAAAATTTGAGGCCCCCAAAAATTGGGGGCCTAAGGCATGTGCCTTAAATTTATCAAGCAAGAGCCGGCACTGGTTCTATACAAAATAATTCTTCCTCTGCTTATGCCTTAGGGACTCCATTTGTATGAGACTGCGTTTATAAGGTCCGATGGCTATCGATAGTAGGTGAGCATGTGTAAAAATAAACAACTCCTCATTTGTATTACTAGCTCCATTTTGCCAAGGCATCTACAACTTGGTTGACTTCCCTGTATGTCTAACCTCAGAAGCAATAAAATCCATGCATTATTATTCATCACGTAATAATCTATTCATCACTATTATTTATCGTATAAACAATCTTGCATCATAATTTATATATATTAGTCTCTGGTCATGCTTGAAAGAATGATAGCTGTAACAATCTGGAAAGTTTCAATTTATTTTGAATTTAAAGATAGTTCTGGTGGTCATAGGGAAACAAATCTAGAAAGAAAATTTCGCTTCAAATGAAGTAACATGAAAATAGAAGCCTAAGGCCTGGGAGATTGCTAATATTATTTCTACTGGGAAAAACATATTCACCATATCGAGTTATATAATATATATAGTACATTTCTCCATAGAAATTCATTTACGCTTTAAAGAGATAAATAATTGACATGCTTTCTTATAATTTATTTTCATCCATGCTGAAATCTCATCGCTTTTTGAGAATAGTCCTTGTTAAAAGCTTCTTTTTGCTATTTCTCTCCCAAAATGATTGATGAAAAGTCCTTCTAAAACAGTCCTTAGGTTTATCATTAAAGTCTTTGCATCAGCCTCATCCACAAGCTTTGATTTGGGATGTGTTAACTCTATTCTCTCTATGCTAAAACAATCATTTTTCTCCACCACTTTAGTCATGTCTTCAATTGAGGGAAAATACACTGGCACATTGAATGAGTTAACTAAAGACTCATCTAACTTACCCTGTGGAAAAAGAAGAAGAAAGAAACCTCAATTATTATAAATGTATGGCTATATCTAACTAGTTCTTCTGTTTCAATTTGTTTGTCTGATTGTTATTTGATTTGAAGTTTAAAAAAGTAAAGAAGACTTTTGAATCTTATGATCTTAAACTAAAAATACGCTGACTGTATCAAAAAAGGAAAGTTGAAAATTAAAAGGTTAACCAGGCAAACAAATTGAAATGGATGAAGTACTAAGTAATTTAACTACCTACCTCGTTCACCAAATCCATAAGACTAGAACCGAGAAATTTCAAGAGATGTTCACTAAATTTGGTGAAATTAGAACCATCATTCCACCAGGAACAATTTCCTCAGCTCTTGCATTGAAGAACATTTCCATGTCCTTTTCAAATTGAGCAACATAAGCATTCATTACTTCAATATTTGAAGCACCTATATAATGAATCAAACCCTTGTTCCATGATGGAGATTTCTTATCTAACAACTCTTTTGGAATCTTAGATAACCAATGTATAGAAGTAGAACAATGAGCAAAATGTATTGATCGCGATGGAAATAATCTACCATGAAAAGATCTTGGAACTCCAAATGCATAGTAGGATCGATCAATAGGTAGTGATTGAAAGAGGGTGTTGAAATCATTGGTGATATGATCATTGAAGAATATTTGAAATTCAGGAATATTATTTTGGTATTTTTCCTTTAAAGCTTCTACAACATGTTGCATTGCACTAAAAGTGTTTGGTCCAATTGAACATCCCAACTCTGTAATACGAAATGTGTTTGAAGAAGATAACATGATTTTGATGTCAAGCTTTCGAATAATTGCATCTCTCACCATCTCCTTTGCACTATCTAACACTTCTTTCTGCATTCAATAGCAAATAAAATTTATTTATTTTACTGTTATAGTGGGTAAAGTTCGTACAATAAATTTACTATGACATATATAATATATTGCATTTTACTGTCACCGTGGATAAATTCAGTTACTGTACAAATAATATATTGATGTATGGTTTGCATTTAGGATCAAACGCTTACCATTATATCAAATCTATAACTAGTAATAATAAGGGCACAATCATTCTTCTTAACTAAGTCTATCATGCATGTGTCATCCAATCCAGACCATGGCACCCCCTCGTGGACCTTGTCATAGGCAAAATGTTGCATTACCCATCACGGTGCCTGATGAATTCTTAATTTAGAGTTGGGAAAAGACTCCTTTATGTCATCTGTTAAAAATTTGACTGATCTGTGACATTGTCGTTTGAGAAAATGTTCATTCATGCCATTATATTTAAACGTTGGTTTTGCAAAATCAATTTTTAACTCAACAAGACCCCAAACAACTTTTAACACTTTTCAATTGGGGTATTGGATCAAATGTACTTATTTTGCTTCTTCTTCCTCAAGAACACCAAGATCACATGAATAACATCAATAACTCCCACATTTTCACCTTCTTCAATTCTTCGTGAAATCACCTCAAATTTCGGCCACGTCATTAATTTTAATTTTTTTAAAAGCAAAAATCAAAATTCTAAAATCATTTATGGAGTTAAAGAAAACTCACCCATATTAAAAAAAACATTTAAAAAAAAAATGAAAATCGGTCTTAAAATTTCAAAAATCTGCTTTGATTCGTGTTTTGTTGTTATTTCTAAAAAGTCTTTGTTCTCTAGTGTTTTTTTGAGTTTATGTTCAAAATTTCAAGTGATCTAGAGTTGCGGAGAAAATTTTATCATTAAAGGATGTGGAAGTTTTGAAACGTTGAAGAAATTTCAAGTAGGTCTTGTTGAGTTAGGTTGAATTCAAGTTCAAAAGATATTGAGTTTTGGTATCTTGCTCGGAGGAAAGCTACTCTTGAAATTTGAGGTGATTTCGTGAAGAATTGAAGAAGTTGGAAATTTGAGAGTTCTTGATGTTGTTCATGTGTTCATAAGGAAGAAGAAGCAAAAATAGTACATTTGATCCAAAACTTCAGTTGAAAAGTGTTAGAAGTTGTTTGCGGATTATTGATAACGCTGAACTACTTACCTTATAATTCAACGTGTAGGCGGCAGTTAGCAATAGAAACCCAATGAGAGGTTGAGGTCGAATCTCACAAGGAACGGTAAATAAAAATTCAACTCACGAAGTGAACTAACGTACTAAACTTTTGTAAATTTGGTTAATCGATTTAACATAAACGTAAATTTGAGAGATTTAGATTATCAATAATAAGATGTTAACACAAGCGAAGATCAAGGAGTTTCAACAAGTAAGAAGGAAATCTTAGGAGTGTGCGTAGTTGAACATCAATTTTAATTCGTATTGTGGGTAATTGCATTGCTAAAAACAGTTGGTTATTAACGGATAGGCTAAATTAACATGCACCATTGAGGTAAGTAAAAAAATGATTTTACAAAATCGGAGTTAAAAAATAATCATATGGATGAACTTTTTCTCATGTCATACGACGATGACATAGATGAGCCTTTGCTCAAAACAGTTGATATATATAAGTTGAAGACAAGAAATCAATACCTGCAATTGGGAGTTTTTGGAGTAGCTGTAAGGATCATCACCAGCATTCATGGGAAAAGATGTTGTCATTTTGGTTCAATGTGTTCTCTTCACTCATAATGTGTTCTTATATATATGGATTTTGCACTCTTTAACTCCGCCCTTTCTGGATGTAGTGGTGGGGCTGCTTCACTCTTAATCAGAAGTCTCGGGTTCGAGTCATGAATATGAAAAAAATCATGTTGGGAGCATCATCCTCAAATGGGCCCTGCACTGTGTGATACTAAAATTTAGTCGGGGCTCCAATGTGGGCTCCATGAACCGAGTGAAAAAAAAAGAAAAACTTATTCTAGATCTTAGGTACCAAAACAATAACAATTAAAATATATTATTGCGGTATAATATGAGACACACATGGTATATATCATTTACCGATAGAATATCATAGAGTTCATGCTTATTTTGATAGTTTAATATTTATATTATTTTTAACAAGTTTACTTATGAAAAAAATATTGTTTTTACTTGACAATTATTGTGATTTATAGTACTTTTACATTGTTTTTAAATATCTAAATTTTATTTCAAAACTTAAAATTCAAATTCACAATCAATGTTTAGAAATTAGGATCTTGTATTTCAATTAAGCTATATAAATTGGAATAGAGGAAGTATATGTATATTGTATACGTACTATTTTGTATCTAGTATATAGATACCAATTAAGTATATATATTACTAACGTATAGTATTATAAATTGTTTATGATAAATAATCTGAATATTATCATAAATATGCAATATATGAAAATATATAACTTGATGACACGACTTGAATAATTGAGACAACAAAATCTCGTGGGATCTTTTCGTATTGATTATTATTTCTTATAAATAATAATTAAAGAGCAAATTGAGCATTTTTTACTTTAAAATAGACTAGAATTATTCAAATGTATGAATTTATCTGATGTCTATTTAGTGGTATAAAATTGAGATTATTATATTATGAAAACAATTTGTTGGTTGAAGTCATGAAAACGAAAAATACTTCCAATATAAAATCAGAAGTAATCAACTTTTAAGATAAAAAATACATTACATATAAAAAATACTAACTTACGACTTTTAATCTTTTCATAAATTTATTTATAACTATTATTCACTTATAAACAACTTGCATCATAATTCATATAACTAACATGTGAACCAAACGAACCAACAAAATCCAAGTCATCAACTTGTTTAATATATATTCATGATATAAACGAAAGTTTATATAACCAGAGCCGAACTCATGATTTGAAGACTTTGGGTGCATCGATATTACCTTTACTTAATTATGAGCTCTAAGATACACTTAAAAAAAAAGTGAAATAAACACTCCAGCTTGATTTGAACCCAAGTCTCGGAAGTGGATCATCTAGCTTGTATGTCACGATTCGAGCCTACACCCTGGACGTGGCCGACACTCGAAGACCATTGATGGTCCCCCAAGCGAACCCCTCATCCTGGCTGACTACAAGCGGAAGACTAACTCAAGCATGCAAAAGCTTAAAAAATGAATAAAATTCATGAAACTTAAACACAAGCTTTTAACTCAAAAGAAAACTGAATAAAAATAAATTATTCAACTCGCCATAAAATAGGCAACTTAAGTCTTTAAAACATTTAATAAAATACATGAATAATACAAACTTCTCAACTATACTAACTATCTATGAAGCCTCTAAATGATAAAGATGGAAGTCGGGACAAGACCCACGACATCCTGACTAAACTGAAAAGTAAATGAAATCCTCCGGAAACAAGGAGGCTCACCATAGCTAACTCGAACTCCCAGATGTATCAACGAATCTACTGTTGATGATCCTAAATACATGTGTCTGCATCATGAGAAGATGCAGGCCAAATGGCTCAGTACGTGGAATGTACGAGCATGTAAGAGAAATTCTAAAGCATAAACATAAGCTTGAAACTTGATAAAAAAGGAAACATACTCACCTCTTTTCAAACTCACTCAACTCAACTCAAGAATAAGATACTCAACTCAAGGATAAGATACTCAACTCAAAGATATGATACTCGACTGTGGGTACTCAACTCTGGATACTCAACTCTGGATAAAACAACAATACACATGCAATATAATGAAAAGTTTTATAAAACAGTAAAAACAACTTAGTTCATTAAAGAAAATGCAATAACAAACTCAATTTTACTTATATAATAAAATAATATAGTTTCTGTGAGAGTTTCTTTAACCGACAACCACCACTATGAGCCTAAGTGGTGATACAACGTCTTGCCCACGCTGCCAGAACTGTCCTATTCTTTGCCGTCATATAGAACGCTTAACTTAGTGGATCCACTAGCTTAACTTATGTGATCATCTAAAAGGTATGACCCATTAATACCCATGATGGCTATATGGTTTATAGAGACTTGAGTTAATATGAACTCGCATCCCCATATCGTGGCTCAATACTACTCCAAAATATATTTAGCTCATATTATTTTTAAAATAAACTTTTTTTCTTTGGTTTGAGATAATTACTCAAAACTTAGCTTAAAAGCTCTTTTGGAATCGATGTCCCTTTCTTGCTCAAAAACTCTTTTGGAAATCTCAGTATCCTCTCATCTTAAATGTGAAAACATTTACTCTTGGGAATACTTAGTTCTCATATATCATTTTCAAGAAAATGAACTTTACTCTTATTCTTTGCTCAACTTCTAAGCTTAAGTCTTTAAACAAAGTTTAAACATTTGTAAAAGACTTCTTAAAATATAGTTCACGCTGAATTATGGACTTGTACGACTCAATGCAAGGTTTTCAATAACCATAGATAGAACTCAATACTTGAAACTCAAGAACTTCAATGATACTACTCATTTAAAGAATGTTCAACTCAGAGGGTTCATGCAGAATTATGAGCATAAACTACTCAACTCAAGGACTCAAGGATACTTCTCATCCCATGACTGCTCTACTCATATGGTTCATGCGGAATTATGGGCATGAACAATTCAACTCAAAGACTTCATGGGTAACATGTAATAGTCCCCTGATTAGAAATATAAGCTCAAAGGGGATTAGGAACTCAATACTCGAGACTTGAAACTTGAAGATACTACTTCTCTCAATGATACTCAATTTATGGAGTTCATGCGGAATTTATGGGTATAAACGACTCAACTCGAAGGTTTACACAACTACATGGAACTCATGTATGTGGCTCTTCTCATTATCTTACTTACTTACTCAAACTTAGTTCGAATTGATAGTTGATCTCAAAGGATTCACAATTGAACTCAAAGGCTTTCTTGAACTTACTCTTAACTCTCTCTTGAATGTGAATTATGAATTCAAGAGTTATATTTCATGATATGAAGGATCTCGTGATGACAAAGTAGACTCATGAATAAATTCTCATCATTCTCGTTCTCACTTGCTCGAGTCTTGAAACAAGTTACTAGAAGTTGAAGAAGACTCCAACAAAAGGGCTACAAAGGGACTTTTCTTTGAATGTTCGAAAGAATTCTCAAAACTTAACTCTTAACTCTACCTTGAATTTGAATTATGAATTCAAGGTTGTGATCATGTTAGGAATGATTTTAGGTGTTTAGAAGTAGCTTAGAGTAGTTAGAATCAAAAAGGAGTGAAAGTGCACTTTAAACGAACTCAAACGGGGCAACCGACGACTAACTAGATGGGGCAGGCGACCCTGCCGCTGTGGGTGGCGCGAGGCGCCAGCCCCTAAACTTCAGAGGAGGGTTTGGGGCGCTCTGGCTGGCGCATCGCGCTAGGCCCCAACCCAGAAAATTCAATGAATTTTCCTTGCTCGTTTTCTCACCCTAACTCGCCTAGAATCGAATAGTTCCTTCCCCAATCAGTTGGATTCGATTACTTAACATAAGTACACTCTAATATACTCAAAACAACACTCAAATTACTAAATTTCATCTCAAGAAATCATCAAAACCCCAACACAACAAGATTTAGAATGAAATTAGAATGAAATTCAAAAACACCTATCAAGAACTCTAATCTTTCAACTTCAAGAATGAAATTTCGCTGAAAATAACATGATTGGCGTGTGGTGAACTAACCCAACACTATGGAAGCTTACATACCTCTTAGGGATCAAACCCATGGCGAAAATCCGCTACAACACACACGAATCTCGACGAACGCTTGATCCTCTCCTCTTTTCTCCTCTTCTCTCTTCTTCTTTTCTCTTTTTTGAACTCTCAACTAAAACCCTAGGCGTAAACTAGGATTATAAAACTGAACCTAGTCAGATTAGACCCCTAAAATATTACTAAAACGAATTAAATCTGACTGGGTAAGGAAAAGACCAAAATACCCCTCTAAAATGCGGTTAACTTCCTTAACTGGACAGCCTAACTTCAAAAGGCCATATCTCACTCTTCCGACCTCTAAACTTAGCAAACTCGACGGCGTTGGAAAGATAATTCAAAGTTCTTTCCTAAGGTATCTGGTAGAACGCCTAAGTCATCCTGAGCTAGGAGTTATGGTCATTTGAAGTCGACCCAAAACTCATACTTAAGCATAACTTGCAAAATTTCAGATTTTGCTATTTTCAATTTAGTTCTTTTTCGAACTCAAGGTGCTACATCTAGTGAACTTAACACTTAAGAAATTTTAATTCCTCGGTAAAATCCTACTCACAATGAAGGATGGTTCAAGTCTTAGCTCAAAAAATTTCTGGGATGTTACATTGTACTAGCAGCACAATGACACTCCTATGCTTTTTATGGCTGCACTGTTAATTATATCATAATTTCTATCAGTTTCTCAAGATAAATATACATATATATACATGATTTTTTTTTAGGTTAACGGATGCACGTGCACCCCCACCTAGAAGGATGAGTCCGCCTATGCATATAACTAACATGTGAACCAAACGAACCGAACGAAATCTTTTTTATCGATTTGTTTCAAAGATACTCTAGATACAAAAGAAATATATAAAGATAACTGTAAAGTCCAAGTCATGTTATCTCCAATAATTTATTCTACAAATTTGGTCCACACAAATTCCAATTATCGTTTTATTGAAAT